TTAGGGAATCATTAGCACGTCAATAAACCACTCGTGCACAACTAATTACATCTGTCAATTCAATACTTATTTACATAAAATTAATGTGATTGGATCTCTGTTTGTTTAGATCTCAAATATATTATTATTTCTATAATATGGATATATGTTCATAACTAATAAGTACTAGTACTACGTAATTAACTAGGAAGTAACAAATTAGGGGTCGTTTGGTTTGAAAATGAGTTATGATGGGATAAGTTATGTTGGGATAAGTTATGTTGGGATTAGTTATGATGGGATAAGTTGTGTTGGGATTATTTTTTATTGAGTGTTTGGTTTGTTGTATTCAAAATAATAAATTTTAAGAACAATTTATTTGTTTACAAAAATGCCCTTCATTAATGTAAAAAGTGATATAACAAAAGGGTTGAAAGAGACATTTTTGTCATTTACCTATTTTATCCCGGGATAAGTTATCCCGGGATTACTATACCACCCAAGGAGAGGGATAACTTATCCCGGTACTAATTATTAATCCCGGGATAAGTTATCCCGAACTTGCCAACCAAACAACAAAATAAGCGGTACTATAATTTAATCCCGGGACTATTTGTTATTATACCTCACACCAAACGAGCCCTTACAGTTTTACTAAGATAATATTTTTCTCTAACCCCAACTTGGACCATTAAAAAATATCATTAATTTCGATAAGATAATATATTTTCAGAAGACCCCTATATAAATATATGGTCCCAACTCCCATTAATACTATAAATTAAAATTCTTTAAAATTATAAAATATCTAAGACAATTAGTGAAATATGATTCTAGTGTTTATTTTTTTCTTGTTAAAATTTAATTCTAGTTGAAATTAAACTCATCTCTAAATTTTCTTATTACAACCAAAAATTTCGGTGTTGTCTTCCCGAATTACACCAAAAAATTGTGAAGAATTTTAGATGCGATAAGTGATTCATTATGCGCAATTGGTTCCAAAGGTTGTATCGTCTTTAACTTCATCATCAACATTGTTTTCTCCGATGGTATCCACAATTTCTTCTAATTAAGCTCTTGAACTCTAAACATGTATCATTTTTTTCACCCAAGTAATCTAGCAGGCTATTGACATCCATTTTATTATGGTAACCGAGATTATTAATCATGACCTCAAATTTATTAATGTCATTTTCATAAGGGGGTTCATTTAAATTCTTTGAGGCTTCATCCCAAACGATGTGATCAAAATTGATATTTATTGAATTTCAAAACTACTCTTTAAGTAATAAATATTAATTTATAAATTAAATTATATCTCTATAAAATAATAATATTTTATGATTTCAATAATATTAATTTAAAGAGATTTTACTATATAAAAATAAATATATATTTTTAATATAATAAACAAATAAAGTGGACGGAAGGAGTAATAAATTGAACGAGTGGCGAAAGCTAAATAATTGTAAAGAAATTATTAAATTTATTTCATAAAACTTATTATTAATAAATGAGGCACAAAAACTCATGTTTCTGATAACGAGACAAAGAATTCTAAAAAATCATCATAAATAAGAAAAAAGTTTAATGTACATAAATGATGACATGAAGACAGGATTGAGTAAATATACTCCCACTGTTTCCTTTGAGTTGTTCAATTTCGACTTTTTATTTCCTCAGTTTCTAATTATTTATTTATTTATTTAGTGGTTCCTAATTACTTATTCATTTTGACAAATCAAGAATTTTTATTTTTTTTTACCTATTATATCCTCAATTACTTACTTTGAAAAAAGTTAGAACTACTTGAAAATCTTTAGTTTTTAATTCACCCACTTTATAATTAACAGGGGCAAAATGGAAAATTTACTATGTCAATCATTGTTTTCTTAATATGTGTGTCAATTCAAAAGTGGACAAGTAATTAGAGACAGAAGGAATACTTGTTATTTTTAACAAATCAAGAAAAGATAATATATTTTTACCTATTAAACTCTTAATTTATTTAGAGAGTTAAATGTTTTTGAAAAAGGCAGAACCTTTTTAATGAGTAAATTGATTTTGAAATTCTATCAACTAATAGGGGTAAAATGATAAACTCATTATGTCAATTTTTTTTCTTAATAGGTGTGTCAAATAAAAAATGGACAAGTAAATAGGGACAGAAGGAGTATTAATTAGCTCTTGCGATCATTTTACTTGGCATATTTAGATTTATCACATTCATTAATAAAATAATATTCCCTCCGTCCACTTTTAATTTCAGGATAAGGTCATGCACAATCCTTAAGAAAAATTTAATAGGAGATGTAATTTGACTAATATAATCCTACTATCAATCATTATGGTCAGTACTTTTTGAAAACAGTAGTTAATTATTAAGGGTAGAATTGAAAATAAGTGACTAATTGTTTCTTGATTGTATAAATTGATAATAAGCTTGGGATAACTATTTTTAGTATGCCTGCAATTAAAAGTGGACGGAGGGAGTAATTGACATGACTATTTTATTACTCACTCCGTACAAAAATAGTTGTCCACTATATTAAAAACAGTTGTCCAATTTAGAAAATCAAGAGATAATTTACTTTGTGTCTATTTTACCCTTGCTATTAAATCCATTTATCATCTAACACATTTCTCAAAACATCAAAGTTAATAAAGTCAAATGATAAATAGTAATATTACTCCTATTATTTATTGTTTCTTAAAGGGTGTGCCAAGTCAATATCGGATAACTATTGTTGGACAAAGAGAATATATTATTCTTATTAATTGAAAAATAATTGAAAAATAATTTGAGAAAATAAACAGTTAATGTTAAGATAAAACATGAGAAAATATAACTATTTTTTTGTTAAAATATTAAAAATAATAAGTAAAAGTGAAAACTTATTTTTAAAATAATGGATAATTAAAAGTGAAACAGTGGAAGTAATTAAGAGAAATAAGTTCTCCATAATTCACGGACTACCTGCATAACCCTAACTAAATTAAAGAAGAAAAACATTCTATAATGCTAAAAATTAAAGACAAATATTGTAGGAGAGTAATAATAACAATACATGATAACGCGATAATGATCGACTTCCTGTTAATTTTCTATCTTAATTCTTGATGTTCATACCTTCTTATTTAGGTCATGTCTTCGAAATTTACACGTATCACATGTGTCATATTCTGTCTAATTAATTATATATCTTCAATACTTTTTTAGTATCTCCCTACTTCTCCTTGTACCCATCATAGTCACCTTCTAATACCTCCTCACTGGGATATTTAATTTGTGCATCTCTTCTTCTCATGTTTGAACTATTTCAGTCTCACGTTCCTCATCTTGTCCAACACGTTGGAGGTCACTCCCACGTTGTCTAAAATATCTTCATTCCTAATCCTATTATTTTAAAGACTAATTTAAATTTATTATTTTGATGATCAAATTTATTTATGTTTCATAATTTCTCTTGTAAAATTTATTATAAATGCCTCAATTTTTTTTTTTACAAATACAAAAACTAAATTACAATAACCCACAAAAAAGTTAGTTTTAAATTTTTTTCTTTATACTAAAGAATGAAATTAAGAAAAAAAATAAGAAACTCAAATAATGATAATCAAAGAAGTCAAAAAATAATTCATGTATGAAATATTTCTTGAACTTTGCTACAAGGATCATATATGAAACTAATTTTTCTACTTCAGTTAGATGATGGTGTGTATTTGAGCTCCTTTTGTAACAGTAAGGGTATATGTGAGTTATTTGTATAATGATAAGGGTATATATGTGTCGCTTTCATAACGAGTGATATATTAACTCTAAATGACAAAGTTGATAGATATATCAGATTTTTTTCCCTTTTTAAAATAATGGACAATTAAAAATGAAAAAGAGGAAGTAATTTAGAGAAATAATTTCTCCATAATTTACGGCCTACCTGCACAACCTTAACTAAATTAAAGAAGAAAAACATAAAAATAACTTTATAAAAATATGATTAGTAATACCCAACAGAAAATAAAGTAGCAATATAAAAAAAATTCGATAATCAAAGTAAAGGAAACAATAAATAATAATAAAATTGAAGACAAAAATTGTAAGCGAGTAATAATAACAATACAGTAATGTGACTTATTACTAACTTTCTATCTTAATCTTAGATGTTCATACTCTCTTATTGAGGTCATGACTTCGAAAGTTGCACGTGTGTCATATCATGTCTAATTAATCATCTCTTCAATACTTTTTCGGCATATCCTTACCTCTCTTTATACCCACCATAGGCAACCTCTAACACCTCCTCACTGGAGTATCTATGCATCTCCTCCTCACAAGTTCGAACTATTTCAGTCTCACTTCCCTCATCTTGTCCACCACGTCGGAGACCACTCCCACCTTATCTCGAATACCTTCGTTCGTAATCCTATATATCCATCTCAACAACCTCATTTAAGTTAGTAATTGATTGAACGACTATCACTTTATAAAACTTACGTCTTAAGTCTTGATAACATATTCTTATCCCACAAGACATCAGAAGAACATCAAGTTTAATCACTCCTAGTAATTGGTTAATCTACCTCAACTACACAAGTAATGTTGGGTCTTAATTAATTACTTATCAAGAAAACACATGGCCAGCCATCCATACATGCACAAATATAAATATTTTAATTTTATTTGTGAATCTCCATTATGAACAAATTATAATAATTATGACTTATAATTAATTAATTATCCTTCTGTTGCGCTTCCTCCAGCTCACACCACCTCAGTAACCCATGTTCAAAATTTAATGACAATGTAAGATTAAATTATTATACACCTTGCAGGGCAAATATGTAGCACCTTACCAAATTCCAAGAAATGCTCATGTTACTATCATATGCAATTGATAAGATTCTTATTCCAAAACACAAATTTAATTTTTATTTTTTCCTCTTATAAAAATGACAAACATTGTTATAGTTGTCCCCATCATAAATATTTTTTCCTCTCAAGAAAAATAAAAACACCAACAATGCCTAGTACTATTTCGAAATCTAACCACTTTCGATCAATTAGTTTACCAGGAAGATCACATTCTAACCATGTTCGATCAATCAGTAGTATCACTGGATGTTCACATCAAACCACAGAAAAACTTAAAGAAGCTATCAATAATCTCAAAGCATTAGAAGTATCAAACACATCATCAGCAGAAGTTATGTACAACGGTTTACTTGGTCTAGAGGAGTTATACAAATGTGTAAATGTTTTACTCAACTTACCTCAAACTCTTCAAGCATTTTCCCAATATCGTCTTGGGAAAATGGTTGAAGATTTATTGGATAAATCAGTAAGGCTGCTTGATCTTTGTGGCACTACTAGGGAACTTGTTTTGCATTATAAAGAAAATGTTCGCGATCTTCAATCCTCTCTTAAGAGGAGGAAAAAAGATTCAACAACGGAATCCAGCATGACTAAATTCAATTCGTGTAGCAAGAAAGTAAAGAAGGAGGCTAAACGATTAGTCGTGGTGTTAAAGCAAATGGATCAAGATACAGAACGCGCATTGGTACCCAAAGATGCTGATCATGACACAGTAGATATGATTAAAACACTTAAGGAAGCTAACGCGATGCGTATTTCCATGTTTCAAATGTTCTTGTCATTCTTATCTGTTCCACTTTTGAAACCAAAGGTGTCTAAATGGTCATTGGTTTCGCGGTTATTGATAAACAAGGGATCATGTGAAGGTCAAGAAGGAAAGATTGATTTGGAAACCAGACTCGAACCATTTGAGGCTCATCTTGATAATTTTGAAAATGGTTTAGAAGGAATATATAGATGCATGAGTAGATCAAGAAGCTCTTTATTGAATATTTTGAAGGAACTTGGATTTAGTACACCAATGTGGTTCAACCTCGAATTATCTAAAGAGAAAAAAGAAACAACGGTTGAAAAACTCTTTGGTGAGTACATGTGTCTCTTTAGAAAAAGTCCTAATATTAGAACTTCTCCTTATAAAAGTGTACGTTCTTTTTAGGAAAATAAAAATCTTCTCATTCACTCGGAAAACCAATCTCGTATCTGTCTGTGATACATCTTTATTCATTCGATCTTTTATATAGGTATGATCATAGATTGTTAATTTATTATACACTGTAATTCGTGTTTGAATTAGCACATGATTGCGCTATTTGAGTAATGAAACAAATACGGTAAATTTTGGGGTACTATATTATGTGTTATTGATATATTAGTGTTTTTTTGCCCTTTCAAATAATCGTTCATAGCGTTTGAATAATGTTTATGGCATTTTTAACACACTTTTTTGTTTCTTCCTAAAAAAAATTATACATTATTGTGGTAAAGGGCTATAGTAATCACTTATAATTAATATCATATCAATTTCAAAAAATATATACCTAAAATATTTTTATTTTATGAAAAGATCACGAATTTATATATCTCATATTATTATTTTTTTGCTATTGTGGTCACGTATCATTCAAATAAATCACCAATCACTCAATCAATTATTATATATTATATATAATAATTGTGGTCGGTGAAAAGGTCGTGGGGCATCTCATCATAATTCATAAAGGCGACATTTATTTTTTTTCTAATATTTTTGGTCCTTTTATCTTTATTTCTATTTCTATTTATGTTTATCTTTTTTAAAAATTGAAAAGTATCTAAATGCATTACTCATTAAGAGCATAGCATTGTGGTCGGAAAGTCAAAAATATTTATTTTGACTAAAAAAAAGTATTTTTTGAAAAAATTATGGTGTTTGGCTAACAGGCAAAACTACTTTTAATTGGAAAGAAGCTAAAAAATTAAGCAAAAGCAGAAAATTATTTTTTTCAAGATCAAACTATCAATGTCATAACTCATATATACATATTTACCAATATATCTCTTATAATTATTATTTTTTTGTGGTGAATTTTCATGTATAGTAATTTAATTTGTGGAATAGATTTTAAATTTATGTTAATTGATATTTCTAATTATATTAAATTATTAATTATTATGTTAATATTGTATTACTATTTAATTTATTTTTTTATTTATATATGTATAATATTGATTGAAAATTTGAATTATATACATATTAATTTAATAAAAATAAAACTACTTAATACTTTCATAATAGATATTTAAAATATTTTTTCTCTATAAAATAATCTTAATATTAAAGGTACATTGATACTTGTCATCTTATGTAATTTGACTCTCAAAAGCACTTTTTAAAAATGATTAATCAAACACAATTTGTTTATCAAAAACATATTTCAAATGAATAACCCAAACACAATTTTGTTTTTCAAATACACTTTTCTAAAAAATCATTTTAAAAAAGTGCTTCTAAAAATAAGTTGTTTTCAGGAGCATTGCCAAACATTAAATGTGGAAAACATTAAAGAAAATGAGTCAAAAAATTTCAGTTTTTTACACTTCTAACTTTTATTTTCTCCTACTAAATATATGAGAGGGAAAAGAAGAGATTTTTGGTTTTTGTAAATAGTATATTACCTTCTCATCAATTTAATTCCACTGTTTTTTTAAGTCATATTTGCTTAGTTTATCTTATTTGAATAAATTGTCTTGAGCGTGAATTTAATTTATTCATTAGTAAATTGTATAGTTTTGATTTATGAAAGGTAATGGGACTGATCTTTTTTGAATTACGAGAGTCAATCCAATTTTCATATGTACCGTCACTTGAATATCTTTGGAGTAGTTTTTGGAGCGTGATGTCATATATCTCCGGTTGGTATTTTAATATGAGTTCATGATAGGTACGGAAGATTTTGTGAACACTCGATAATTTAGGTATGAAACTCACAGAATGATGACGTTCTACAACCATCAATTCGACATGCATGTTGTCTTGCCTAAGAACATCCATTTCAAATTAAAGTCCTAACTCTCAAGCCAAGGCTTGATTTTTGCAAAAATAAAGTGAGGCAACCTTCTTTTTCCTTGCAAAACATAAGAGTGTAACAAGGTAGAGAATTGAGGTAAAATACAATGTACAAAAAAATAAAAAGAAATGTTTATAAACCTAGCTAAGAAATTCTATTATTTGTCATCATCGTCGTCGTCATCATTCTTTGAAGGTCTATACTGCTGAACAACAAGAACTGAACCACTAATATCAAATTCTGGAGAAGCCAAAAAATCGCCTACTTTACCGAGCTCTGGACATTCTTCCCAATCACTCATTCCAGTTGTTAGTATTGAATGTCCTCTCCCGTCCTTCCCTACTATGAACAATGAATACATTTCAGCCATGTCTCTCAACGCAGACGCTGTATCTGCGCCATTTTCTACAACCTTTTCCACATATCCTACTTGACCTGTCGCCACATACCTGATCATTTCGAAAAATTGCTATCAATTATCACACAGGAATGAGAATATATCAACTTAACAACAACTGCTTTCGCTATTTATGGAAAGAATATTCACATATAAAGTAGGAATAATGCGTAAACAGACACTCAAACTTGGCCTCAACTAGCAAGTAAACGCTCCAACTTTGAAAGAACACCTCAACTTGGTTACAACTAACAACTAAACACTCCAACTCGTTGTCCTTAATGTGTCTCGTGGACACCCAATGTTCACATGAAACATAAATTTTGGAGGTGTCTAGATAATCATTTTGTAAGTTGGGACTATTCAACTAACATAGTGGAGACGAGTTGAGGTGTCTAGATGTGCATACTCAAAGTTGGAGTGTTTAATTGTCCGCTGAGGCCAAATTTGAGTGTCTATTTATGTATTATGCCTATAAAGTATATACAGAGTAAAAGGCGATAAAGTACTAGCATGTTAGATATGTAAAAAGGCTTTCTTATTACCTGCTATGGAAATCTGCCAAAATTGCGCCATCTGTTTCTTTCTCTACTTCGTCATTTGGTATTGCCATCAAGACATCATCCGTTTTGTGAGCAATATTGACACCTGAAATTTGTCCTCTTGAAGATGAGGGAAGGAACCTAATTATGGTGAGATTTACGTGATGATCCATACCAAGACGTTTACTAAAGCCTAATGCTTCACGATCATCAGGTCCGCCAAAAAATAAGATAGCAATGTGTTGCAGAGAGTCAGAACCCGAAGGATTTAAGCACCCGGCTGTAAGTCCCCTGTCAATAAGAATGGCAACTGAACATGGGGCATGACGAAGAACTTTCTGATTTGTAGTTCGTATGCCTTGTTTACCGTTCTCTAGCTTCCCATCGATTCTCTGGTGTTTGTGGAAAGGAAGGACAACGATAGATGCTCTTATGTCTTCAGCAGTGTTACAAACATCTGCATGCATACGTGAAAACGGAGACACAGCTTTAATCTGTTGAACCAATAACCCTGTCTCACTAGTGAACATATCCATGGCATCATTTATCTCAACAACATCATTCCCACCATAATCATCTTCATCACTTAGTTCATCGTCTTCTCGTTGATTGTACATCAAATTAGTCTTTTTTTTACCAGGCAGCTCAACGAGATGCATCAAGTAAGGGGTTATTGGAACTTCTCTTGGCCCTCTGGAGGCTGCAACAAGTCCTAGCATAGTTGCCACTGGACGGGGACTATGCACACAAGTAAGTATTCGTAGTTCGGTTTCTGGATTATGGGATTCAAAATATATTTGCCTGTACCCAATAATATCACTTTCTCTTCTCACCATGAAAGCTACTATTGGTCCCCATATCAATGTATTCACAATAATTGTTGCTATCATCACGTCATAGAAATTCTGGCTCGAAACAAGCTGCAAATTTGCGCAAACTTATTTCATGCTACTAATATAGTAGATAGGTAAAAGGTATTAGATATCTAACTGTAAGAAGGTAGGAAATAACAACATTATTATCTCACAGCATGAGACTTTCCATGAGCTTGCTAACATGCCACTTTAACATTGTCGTTAAAAGGATAAATAAGCACTTGAAAAGGCACAATTCTTTTGCCTTCTACACAATGGCGGAGCCAGAATTTCCACTAAGGGGTGCAAAATATGAAATGTGAACACACGAAGAAGCCAAAGGGGTTCAATATCTAATCTATATACAAAAAAAAAAAATTTAACCATGTATAAACAGTGTCATTTTCCGTCGAAGGGGGTTCATTGGTTTGGATGAACCCCCTTCGCCCTACCTAGCTCCGCTCCTGCTTATACTCATTAAAACAAGGTGTTTCTTGATTAAATAGCGCATTTGAATGGAGTTATTGTATAAGATTAGATTGATACTTCACGTTTCTCCATTTAACAATTTCTTTTAAGTATGAAACTTGACATCAACCAATCTACTTAATGAAATCCTTTTAAGGTATAAAACTAACCAAACATAAGCTTTGTAGGTTTATAATGAACACAAAAAATCATGCAAGATATATAAAACCATTTAACATAAGCTTTAAGTTCTATTTCATGCTTATTCGAAGAAATCTTGGAAAGGAAAACTTACGTCATTCGCCAAGCCAATCGTCAATGCTAGAATATCAACATGACCTTTTAGATTCATCATAAAAGAAAGAAGCACCCCCTCTCTGTAAGGGATCTTTAGGTGAAAGCAAGCTGCCAGTGTTCCAACAATCTTCCCTCCGATGCTTGACAAAATAAGGATAGAGAATACCATAAAGTTACGCAGATTTTTCAGCTTAGTTATATTTGCCCTGAAACCATGGTTGCCAAAGTAGATTGGAAATATGAAATTGTGAATTGGATATGTGAGTTTGATCAACAAAGTTCGAGCTGCTTTCCCTCCTCTAGGAAACATTGAGCCAATGAGGAAAGAAGCTATAATGCTGCTGAATCCAAGCTGCTCGAGAGCCATAGCAGCGATATAGAGAATCGCTACAAGTATAAATATTTCAGTATTTCCAAGGTACTTTTTGTTCCTATTCCTCCTATTCAACCAATTAGCTAGATACATATTGATTACAATAACTACACCAACAATAAGAAAATAGAGAAAAAAGAAAAAGATCCATTTTGCAATTGAAGTTGACTTGAACTCT